TAGTGTTGAGAAAACAGGAGGAGTTTCTGACATTATCTGGGCATTTAAGCAACCAACAGGATTTAGTTTTAAATTTCTCAATATCTCGAGGCTTTCGAAGCTATTAAGAGTAAATCTATGGTAGGAACTATGTAGGATTTCGAAACCTTCAGTTGAATCAAAGTCGTGATTTGAGTCCAGTAGGTGGTTGGCAAAATATGAAAAACCTGTTGTATTTTGGTTAAGACAACGCAAATGTTCTTTTAAACGGATTTTGAAATTTCGAAATGTGCGTCCCACATAGAAAGAATGGCAAGATTTACAAGTTAATTTATAAATTCCAGATAAGTCAAAGGGATCTAATTTATCTTTATTATGAACAAATAACTTATGTAATGAGGAGGGGGTTTTGAAAGATACTTTAAAGTGGTCTTTAAGTAAACTTGCCACTTTATAGGATGCTTTTCCAATAAAGGTAAGAGAAATGTATTTCTTACTGGAGGTTAGTTCATGTACCATATTAGGATTGTTATTATAAACTAAGTTTTGTTGAATTTTATTTTGTTTATGTGTTAGCATTTTATCAATAATATCTAGTTCAAAGTTGTGATCTATAGCAATAGTTTTAATTATATTTAGTTCCTTAATAAAGTTTTCCGTAGACAGAGGAACGTTTAATAGCCTCTCTAAGTAGCAATTAAAGGCAGCCAATTTATGTGTTGCTGGATGGTTAGAGGTATTGTCTATAACTTTGCCTGTATGTGTTGGCTTTCTATAGATGTCAAAGTTGAACTTGTTATTATTGTGTGAAATTTTAAGTTCTAAGAAGTTAATAGATTTGTTTATTTCAATTTCTAATGTGAATTTAATATTAGAATGTAAGTCATTAATATAAGTCAAGAAGTCATTTAATGAGTCTAAGTTACCTGACTACAAAATCAAAATATCATCAACATATCTATAATAGAATTTCACATTTGAGTGGAAAAGGTTGTTTTTAAGGATTTTTTCTTTTTCAAGATTGTGCATAAATATGTCTGCTAATATTGGGCTAAGTGGAGATCCCATAGAAAGTCCATTTGTTTGTGAAAAAATTTTCATTGTTGAATGAAAAAAAGTTTTGTTCTAAACAAACCTTGAGGAGGTTCAAAAATTCTACTAGTTCAATGTCAGACATATTCGAACTTGACAAATGTGATTCAACAAAACCTAGAACCTCTGGTATAGGAATATTCGTGAATAAGTTTGATACATCTAAAGAGATGAAAGAATCTGTATCATTAATGTGAACATTTTTTATGTTGTTTACAAGTTGTACACTATTTTTAACTGTATGTGTAAAGTGATCTTTATAATGGATTTTGAGTATGTCATTCAACCACTTTGATGTATAATATGTTGGTGAATTTATATATGACACGACAGGACGGATTGGTATGTCATTAAAATTGTCAGATTTGTGGATTTTGAGAAGGCCATATAGCCTAGGTATTAATTTGTGATCTGGTTTGAATTTATTAAACAAGGAATCATTGATCAAATGTGTACAATTTTTAAGGGTAGTTTTAAATTTGGTATTATACTTATTTAAGGGGTTAGTGATTATAACGAAACTGTTAGTGTTCAAAAAGTTGTAAACTTTAGACAAGTAATCAAATTTGTTCAGAATTAATAGACAATTGCCTTTATCTGCTTTTGTCAATATTAGATCATTATTTTTAATCTTTTTATTAATGTTTTTAATTAAATTATCATTAAAAGTGCCTCTTGAAGAGAGATTATTTAATAACGTTTCTTTTTCTTTTTTGAATATGTTAACTAATCCACATCTAGGATCTTCTTTATTGTCAATTTCAAAGTTTTGTAAAATGGACTCTGCTTCTACTGCTAGTAGTTCTAAGTTTTTATTAAGTGAAATGGTATTTGATCTAGTTGGATTAAATTTTATACCCTTGTTAAGGAGGTCAATTTCAGTTTCTGTAAAAGTTGTATCAGAAAAATTTAGAAGAGGAGTATGAAATTTATGTGAACTTTGATCTGAGGGATTGTTATTAACATTGTTATTTTTAATTTTTAGTTTGATTAATTTTTCATTCAAAGTTTTCATTTTATTGCATCTATCATAGTTAACCAAATTATGTACAAAAGACATGAAATTGTCAAAATATATGAAAGGCCAAACCTCTTTTAGACGGTCATAAGTTGTTTTTAGACGTAAATCTAAAAAGTAGAGTTTTCTATATTGTGTCCTGATTTTTTCTTTCAAAAGTAAGACTTTTAGGCAACGTAGGCATCTTCTACTGTTTAATGAAAGAGGTTATCTGTTTATCTTGATGTGTATGTATTTTGGTGTTAGGTTTTCTTGTAAACATCGGTTATTAAAGTAAATGTTGCAATTGACTTGACTTGTTACATGTCTTTGGAGCCTATTTCATGTCGTTATCAGATGACGGTCGAAATTTGCAGTGGGCTCTTGGGCTAAAAGGTACTAAATACTGCATTTGTGATAATAATAAAATGTATGTACATAGAGTACTTACTCATTTTCTTTCATTATTTTTTCATCATTTTCTTCATTAATTAATGCACTTTGTTTATTCATATTTAAAACACTTTATACAGAAATTTTACGCGTACAGCTATTCACTGTTGTACGATGACATACACCTACTTGGATTTGGATAGTGTAGATAGCAAGTTGGTGGTTCGAGCCCCGAAACTTTTAGTTTTTTTTTTCTTAAAAAAAAAAGGAAAAATATTATTGTTTTATTATTTCACAGTCTTGGTAATTTAAAATGTTTAGTTATTTAATTTATTACTTAATTGTATTAATTTTTAATCTTGAGAGATTAAAAGTTTAAACATAAGTCATCTAAATAAATGCATTTTTTTATTATACTCCGAAATATGAATTTAAAATCTCTTTCTACAGTAAATAAGACTTATTTTAATGTTGGCCGGTAATTAAAACCCCTCAAAAGTGTCTGCCTAAATTACTAGTATTTTTAAAATTACCTAAACTTTTAATTGTCGGGAACATTTGTGATACCAATTTATTAGAAGCTCTTCTAGTTCTTGTATGGCACAAATGTTCCAGTCCGCAGACGTATATTTAATTTCGCTTCATACTAATACGAATAGTGTCGGACATAACATTCCATGGCTTTAACGTCACACTGCTGTGCCGGTCGGAGTGGGGGGTGTTAGGTTTATTTTCGTTACGGTGTTACGAAATTTCTTGATTCGGTCGCCACTCAAAGCCCGCGATAAAAGCTATGCAATAGCTTAATTGTACAAATCCTGTCAAAAATTATTGCCCAAAATACCAGGGAAACAAAAAGAGAAAGATAGAAATTAAAAGGAAAAAGTGGATAAATCAGGCATTAATCAAATTAATTAATAGGAAAAATTATCTCTATAAACAATACAAAAAGAATCCAGATAATTTAGAATACAAAAATGCTTTTTTTAACTTACCGAAATAGACTTAATACTCTAATGTATAATTCAAAAAAAGATTATATCAAGAACTAATTGAAAAACATAAAAATTATGGAAGACAATCAAACAAATAGATGGAAAGGAATTGAAAAAATATATGAAGAAATCCAAAAAATTATTACAGATAATAAGGATATTGCTAATCTATTTAATAGTATTTTTACAAATATAGGTAAACAGTATACCAATAAAATTATTAAACCAACAGTACTTTGGTGTGTGTTTGAAAACTAAAGAAATAACAAGTGTATCTAAACAAAATAAACATACACTATATAATAATTAATTTCTAATATGGCAGTTTTCCCAACATGTTTGCAAAATGATTCTGTCGGAGAGTATGATAAAACAGAATAAAGCTAAAGCAGTTTAAAATTTAATTCTCTTAAAACTGATTAGTTTTGTATAGTTTTTATGCCTATCCCAATTATTATCATAATCTTAAAAAAGATTTAAAAATGGTTTAATAAAATTCTTAATATACTCTTACGGACTTTGTCTTAAGTCTAATTAGTCTTAAGATATTGTTTTAAAAATACTTCTAAGAACCGTTATAGGATTCTTATCTAATAGCGCAAAATAATTTATAATGTCCTGCCTGGTTGTTTGAAATACATAATTATTGTTATTATGGTAATTATCTTGAACAAAAATATATGTAACATCATTTTCCTCCATTATATGCAAGAATCTTTGCAAATCTTCTGAATCAGGAGGATCTGCTTCGTTATTTTCTCTACAAATGTTATGGAGAACTGCAGTGGCAACTATTATCTCCAAAGTTGTTTCTATCTTTAAACGAAATTCATAAGCAAGAATGGAAAATCTTCTTTTCCACACACCTATTTGTCGTTCTACTGCATTATTGGATCTCATATGGGTCTCGTTATATAGCTGCTCTGCGGGTGTATTTAGACGTTATAAAGGAGTCAGCAACGAATATTGAAGGTAGTACCCACTGTCTTCTCAAAAAAGTTAATAATTAATACAATAAATAGTTCTATGTCTTTCCAAATGTACTAAAAATACGTTTAAAAAATATAAAACAGATTGCAATCAGTTTGAAAGAAAAAGGTAAATAAAAACAGTCCTCCTAGACCACAATATTTATTTAGTAAACTTACCTAACAATGTTGAATTTAGAAACTCATTGTTCTCGAATCGTCCCTTTAGTTGGCTATTATTAAAAATAGTAACATCATGGTAAGAACCTGGCCACCTTACTACTAAATCCAAGATTTTTTAATTGGCGCTATTCACTGTTAGGACGGTTACAGAAAAGTACTCTTTCCTATTTCTAAAAACCTCTGCATCTTTCCCTTCTAATAAAAAATATTTTGTTAGAATAAAATTAAAATTATTATATAAATTGTTAAGTACCTGGTGATTGGATTTTGATATGGGTGCCTTCAACAGCACCTATTACACGAGGAAAACGTGTGTCTCCAAAGTTAGCAACATAAGATAATAAGATAAATGTGTTTCTGTGGCACATAGATGTAAAAAAATCAATAGCTGGTTCATGAGAGCCACACTGTTGTTACTGAAAAACAAATATAAATCTTATTGTAATTTGTAACATTATTGTTGTTAATAAATACTTACAAGTCGTAGGGCTGCTCGATTTATGCCTCAATAAAATTTAAAATATTTAAGGTGGTAGGTTTTGTCCCCCTTAATCGCGAAAAGAATATCAAATCATCCCCCCAGCTATTGAAATATTTATTTCGATGCAGTGGCGGCTTGTGGTAATTTGAAATGGGTGTTCACTTTTTCCAATAATTTTATCATTTGTAAGTTCGGATCAAAACCTTGTCCAAGAGTCAATATCACTGTTTTTTTATTATTTGAGTTTGTATTAAGTGTAATTATTATTATCAACATTATACTGTTTTCAAGCATTACAACTATTAATAAATGAATATTTTAGTTAGTGTAATATTTGTTTTTTTTTTAATACGTTGAAAACAATCTAAACATTATTAGTTAGTAAACTGACTTTTCCTCATAATTTGAGATTATTTTTAAATATATATATATATATATATATATATATATATATATATATATATATATATATATATATATATATATATATATATATATATATATATATATATATATATATATATATCAGGTAATGTAGAAACTTTACATTGATTTTTGTGTAAAAAATTTTATATGAAACTTTACCTACCATTTTTTAGTTTTTATTGTAAGTTTAATCATTTTCACAATTTGTCACAGATGTCAAATAAAAAATATATTTTTTAAATACCTTTTATTGGCAAATAAAATAAGAACTTAAATGTTTTAAATGTTTATTTTATAAGATCAGTCCCATCACAATACATATTACACAGACACAAACTAGAATAAAGATATATAATCCATTTCGAGTTTATATCATTTTTCAGTTAGGATTTTTTTTTATATTTTAACCCCCCTTAATTCCCCCATATATATTCATATTTTTTTCAGTATCAATAGACTTTATCTTCTTATAAAGCTTAATTTTTACTAAAAATTTCATGTTGATATCGCTTTTCGTTTTTAATTTAGGATTTTTTTAATTTCAACCCATCTTAACCCCCTATTTTTAATTAGATTTGTTGAAAATCAATAAGCTTTGTCCTCTTATAGAGCTTGATTTTTGATTAAAAATTTCAAGTTGATTCCATTTTTCGTTTTTGACTTATCGTGTAGACAAAAAACCTGACATCGGACAGACAGACAAAATAAACCTATAATACTCTTCACAGAATACTGTATGAAGAGTAGAAAAAAAATGTATGAGGTAAAATAAACAATTTAAAAAGGTCAACAATAATATTCAACTTCTTTTATCAAAGGATACTAAAAGTTTGAAATAGCAGCACATAATTGAACACAGAACACAGAAATCTGTGAACTAAACTAGTGAGATGCATATCGTAAAATGTTATCACACTTAATTCTCCATATGACACTTTCTAAGTGTATTTCACAGAACATTCCAAAGTATTCTTGCTTTCACTAATGTCCTACCCTCATGGCTGCTTTTGCATGTCCAAATTTACTAAAAAATAATGTGTTTTAATAAATAATAGAATAATAACAATTTTGTTTAAATAAGTAAATCGGCTTCATCTGTATTTTTAAATTATTGTTTAATTATAGATAGTATATTAATGTTTTGATATGTACTTATAGGATTGATTAGCCAGAGCATGTAGATGTGGGACGTGACTTGTTAAATGCCTAATCAAAATCACAATTTACGTTTGATACTTATTTCGAGACTTTTTTCGAGACATTCTTTAGTACCAACTGTAAACTACTTTACCAATACCCTTATTTTTATTTAATACCTGTAGTGATTCTAATTACCATAACATTTAATATTTTTGAAAATACTAAATTATACAAACAAGGCAATAAAAAAATATCATTAAAATAAAATATTTCTTGTTTGTATGTAACAAACGACCTTGGTTAGAGGGTAATACGATTGCTAATTGTAAAACATAACTTTATATAGGTAAACTATTTAAATGTACATACCATTTCTTAGGTAAAATTTCTCATGGAGTATATTAAATTAATTGGCTGATCCATTCTTCTGATTTAGACTTTTAAAGTGAAAACCATTTGTCTCTTTATCTTAATAAAATTTTTATTGTACATTTCCATAATGACGTCAAATAGTTACCTCATCAAAATAATTAAATTTTTCCTTCTAGCAGATTTTGTGGGAAAAAATTTACAGATTTTTTGTTTACTTCTTAGTTCATAGTATTTACAATTGTGTACAAAATAGACCATTTTGAAGTTGTCTTTGGATGGTCTAGATACTGAAACAAAATATAAAACAAATTATAGTCGTAAAACTTTATTACTGCTTTATTATAAAGTAAATAAACAAAATATAACCTTAAAATATTTTATTTATTTACCTTGCCTTAAAAGTTTTTCTTGAACAATAATTACATTGACACACATCCTTCCAATTTATTAAAGTTGCAGTTCTCAATTAAACACATTTTTTAAATAATCACAAATAAAATAATCTTAATTATATTACAATCGATGGAATGACAGTATTGACATTGACAGTTTGTACTTTGATTTGGTACATAGTTGCCAGAATGTTTTTGTTATGTACCAGATTTGTCTAAAAAATGTACCAGATTCCTTAAATGTACCAGATTTTTCGAATTCTATTTGCAGTGACATCTAAATTCATTGAAGAGGAAAAAAGGGGATCTTTGTTGATAACGAACCCAAACAAGGAACACAATATATACATATATTTTACACGTGAACAGTGATGCATGCAGAATGTACTACATCTAGTACAATTGTGAATTGAAGTAGACTGGCAGCACTGGTTTGGTAAACTTGTTTGTAAGCGGCGCGCCAATTAATTTGTTCTTTGACAGTTTGAAGGATCTGTTGGCGTGTTTTCATCTCTTTTTAGCTATATATATTCGTCAAACCGTCTCACTCGTGTTAGGCTCACTCATCATAATGCGCCACAGACAAGGTTTACTTAGGTATATTGTGCCACAGAGAAGCGATCAGCCAGAAAGCAATGATGTACCAAAAAATATAGATTAACACGTATGAAAATAAAAATATTAATATTAAATTTATATTTTTATGTTATTAATGTAATTTTAAAATAATGTGTCTTTATGAAATTGAACTGGGTGTTCACTGCACAAATAAACCAATGGAGAAACCGCCCCTGTTTCGATGATTAATCCTTCGGGGTATTCCATGAAAAATCAAATTTAGCTCGTCCATCATCATCGTCGTGAATAAAATTGTTCATTTTTGTTTTACTAGTCATAAGGAAAACTAACAAAAGGCAATAAATAAAGCCTTCATCTACACATAAAACATACACCAACCAAAACAAAACACACATCAACCGAAACATAAAACTATAAAACACGATGATGATAATAATAATGAATAATAAATGCAAATTGAGGTTAAGATGAGTTAGGGAGAACTTTAAGCGGTAAAAATTGTAGACTTAGGTAAAACATAGCTAAGGTCCACCTTAAGAATCAGTTTGTCATCCGTGCAAATGAAATTGTGATTTTAACGTTACCTTAAAGTTAAGCACTACTTATGTTTCGCTAAATATAACCAGTGCAAACGGCCCTTAAAATTTCAAAGTGTAAAGGGACTTAAAATAACTTTCTTTAATAATAGTTTGAGTTTTTACGCAATTCTGAAATCAGATATTTTTAGAACGATGTTATTAATTAATTTTAGATCATTATAAATATTAAAATAACCAAAAAAGTTTGACAGCTGTGTGCACGTAGTTTAGATTCAAAAGGAAAAACTTGTATTTCGTGCAAAACTTTTTTATTAATCAATGCAAAACGGTTTCGGCTTATTTGCCATCATCAGTGCTCATCTACAAAAATTGTGGATGTAAACTTACAATTTAAAAAGATTTAAAAAAATATATTATAAAATCTGAATTAGACTTTTAAGTCAAAAGTTAAAATAGTATATATACAATTGTTTGAACAAATTAAAAATTACAAGAAACAAACAAAGTGACAAAAAACTGGTATTGGGAATAGTAAGTGTGGGATAAGCCCTTACAAATCAAATCTGATCTCCAGAAGCAAGTTAGCTTGTGTGGAATTAAGGTGTGGAATTAAGGATTCACAAAATTGAAAAAAGGTTAACAAATTAGTTAAAATTTAAAGAAATTTACAATTAGAGGGTGACTGTGGAAGATATATTGAAATTTGAATCTAGAATACAATATTTGATGCCTTTGGTTCGGGAGGTTTTGAGAAGTTCAAACGTTTCTGTCAATAACACAACCATCATTCTTCAATTTTTAAACTTGTGCTTATCACAAAATTTCTTTACTTTTAACAATATCACCTACGAACAACCGGATGGCCTTGCTATGGGATGTGGCCTATATCCTTTAATCGCTGATATCTTTATGAATCATTTAGAAACTAGTTACATTATTCCACAACATAAAAATATTTTAATCTACCACAGATACGTCGATGACATTTTTTGCTTAATAAATGGTAACGCCAACACGGCTTCTAATATTCTAAACTCAATCAATACTATTCATCCTAATATAAAATTCACTCTGGAAGCCGAAAAAGAATGTTGTTTGAACTTTTTGGACGTTTCTGTCTATAGACAGGGTAAAAAATTCGAATTAAGCATATATAGAAAACCCACCCAAACAGACCACGTGATACACTATTCTTCAAATCACCCCCACCAACATAAAATGTCTGCTTTCTATTGCTATATTCATAGACTTCTTTCAATTCCTCTAAATAAAATTAATTATCTTCAAGAATTAAATATACTTAAACAAATTGCATTTAACAACGGGTATGACCCGGACATAATTCAATCTCTAATCACCAAAATTAAGTTCAAGAAAATTCAAAAATTAGCCTACCCCAATTTAAGTCACATTAATAATTGTTACATATCAATCCCCTTCTGGGAATATAACTTAGCTAGGAGCATTTCAAAATTTTTTGCTAACAA